AGAAATATTGCCAAGGTATGTTAGGTGAAAAACAAAGGTGACAGAAAATGATACGTACAGAATTATTCTATTCATGTTGACAATGAAAATAAAACTGCATATCCATGCAGGCATGTGTGTGTGTTCATTAATGAAAAAAATATATACATTTCAGATAAACACCAAATTTTAATAGTTACTTCTGTGGAAGGTATGGGAGATGAAAGGGGAAGTTTGCTGTAACACTGTATAGTTCTGCATTTGTTTGAATTTTCTTTGGAAGACAAGTAGACCACTTAAAACTAGCTGAAATTACCTTTTTTATTTGCTGGTTAGTGTTTCATTCTGTCCAGTATAACGTAGGTTTGAGAAAGCGGAAAGTGGGCTGGGCTTTTGTTTTCTGCACCCCCTGGACCTAAAATAGTGCAGGATATGCTCCATAAAATTTACTCAGTGAATAACTTTAGCAATGAAAAGGGAAGAGTTGGCTCACTGTGCAAGTTCTACCCACTCCCAATTCACCTAAAGCTGCTGCCCGACCAGCCTATTCTTTAACCAGTGTGTTTGCTTCCTAGCAATTCAGGGAGACATGCTCTTGTGATAATGCAGACTTCTCTGTAGATATGTTATACTTGATAAAAAAAAAAAAAAACCTAAGAGAAAAATCATAAGCATGTGACATGGGTATGCCTGTTATTGCCAGGTTTCTTCTGCTGAGTGATTGTGGTACTCCCTTCTCTGCAGAGACAGGCATTCCTGGTCACTAAGATAACTGTATGCTTTGTTTTTTGCTTTCCACTCTCTAAGCAATGAGTGAACTTTGCAAGTGCTGTTTTTTGGTATAGAAACTGATTAAGAAAATCTCTTCATTGTATTTTCATCATAAAACATGAAAGTTTATATAACTGCTCCCCCCTCCACCCCAATAAACCAGGATGCTTTGAAGGGTGCCAAAGGATGACAAAAATGGATGATGGATATAATTGATGTAATTGGTACGTTCTTCTCTCAGGAAAATGGGGAGTGAACAAAGTTGTTTTACTTGGCAGCAAGGAAGATTGAAACACATCAGCTTATCTTGCCATTTACCTGCTCTCAAACACGAATTGTTTTCTGTTGAATCCAGTCTACTAAAATCCAGAGCCCTGAAGGCCTCATAAGTCTTATTCCTCCAATTCTGCACGTGTTCCCATTCTGGGACATTGCACTCATTGTTCGCTCAGTCTGGGATGCTTTTCCACCAATTTTAATGTAGTCAACTGTATTATTTATTGAATGAATGAAATGATTCACGTGGGGTGCTTAGGTATACTTCCAGAAAAAAGCCTGTAAATATTCACAGTAGTCATAGTTTCAAAGCATTCAAAGCTGTATGCTTCTCCTTCACCTTCTCTTATGAAGAAACCTCTGGGGGCACCTGGATAGCTCAGTTGGTTAAACAACTGCTTTTGGCTCAGGTCATGATCTCAGGCTCCTGGGATCCAGCCCAGTATGGGAGGGAGGTGGGGAGGTCCTTGGTCAACGGGGAGTCTGCTTCTCCTTCTCCCTCTCCCTGCTACTCTGCCTACTTGTGCTCTCTCTCTGTCAAATAAATAAAAATTCTTTAAAAAGAAGAAAAGGAAGAAGAAACCTCTGTAGCTCAATACTCAGTTTCTTCATGCCTTTGATTTTGGGGTAACTTTCTCATTACACAGGTTTTCCCTGTTTGTAGTAGAAGATTGAGAAAGTGAAGATGAGTATTAAGGGCCATTGCAATCCTTCCTGCTCCGTGAGACACAAACCTCAGAAGAGAAAACACTGTTGTTGGGTTTTCTCAGGCTGCCCCCAGACCAAAGCTCACAGAGAGTTCCCCATCCCAGACAGTTCTGACAGAGCACCTTATTCCTGAGAAGCCCAGGATGAGGCAGGGTGGGGTAGGGAAAAGCCCAATATCTCTATGTAAGAACTGGGAGTTATCCCAACCACCTAATGAGGAAAGAGCTTCAGATCACACAGCTAGCTGGAATTTCCATCCAGGCAGCCTGGTCAGAGTTGATGCACAGAGTTCCTAGAACTATCAACTCTCAGAAGGAACCCAGACCAGGACTAGGATTCAGGTGGAATCTGTGCCCCTGGAGTGAGCAGAGGGAGGTGCAGGGGAGAGGGGCGGGGCGGGGGATGGGGGGAAAGCTGAGTGTAGGAAAGGTGACGATGGAGCAGCAGCGCCCTCTGCAGGGAGTGTGCCCCTTCACGCTAAGGGCTTGGAGAGTTTCGCCCCTTGAACTCCTGGTGCAATCAGCCTAGCTAACCCCAAATCCTTGTCCTGTAATAGTTCTAACCCTAGTCCCTCCCATGTTTCCGGACCCCTGAACACCTGTGCTGAGCGCACATTGAAGTCGACAGTCACAGTTTTCTGAGTTATTAGTTCACCATCCACAGTTCTCTGCATTTAAAATGCATCCCTCATGACTCAGGCAGAGGCTGCTGGGAATCTAATTAGGACATTTTTTTTTTTTTAAAGATCTTTATTTATTTGGCAGAGAAAGAGAGAGCGAATGCAAGCAAGGGAAGCAGCAGGCTGAGGGAGAGGGAGAAGCACGCTCCCCACTGAGCAAGGAACCTGGGATCCTGACCTCAGCCGAAGGCAGATGCTTAATCCGCTGAGCGACCCAGGCATCCTTAATTAGGACATTCTTGAAAATCAAACCCTTTAAGGGTTAAAGGCACAAAATTCTAATGATGGATTTCAGACAGCAGGCCAAACAATGTGAGAAATATTTGGGTACACAAGAAGACCTGTAGAGCACCCCTCGAGTCATATTTCCTGGACAACTGTGATACTTACTGTGAGGCTCTCAGCTTCATATGATCTTTCATGCTGGAGCAGGCAGCCCCATAGGCAGCCAGAGAGAAGGTGTCCTCGCGGCTGACCACCTTTTCCTTTTTCTTTCTTCTTTTCCTGTTTCCCTGTCCTTCTTCTCTGTTCTCTTCCTCCCTAACCATTTGTAGCACATGCTCTAGATTCTTCATATTTCACTAGGCATGAGGAGAGGGAAGAAATACAAGAGTGAGTGATACTGTCCAGCCCCAGGCATTGCTGGCCCCTTAGCCAAGGTGACAGGTGGCAAAAGAGGTGACAGGTCTGTTAACCACTCTGAGAGTTTTAGTCTGATCTACACAGCTACCCCAAAATGCAAAAGAAGGGGCTCCTACTTAAAGAACTGTTCTTTATTTGAAAAATACTGTGTTCATTTGATTGTGAAAATTGTGATTTTTCTCAAAAAATGTGTTTTTTTGGTCAAAAAAAGTGTTTTCTCAAAAAAGTGTTTATGTGTGTGGATACACATTGTATTATTACAATAACTATGTTATTTTCTTACCATGGATGGAGAAGGACATTTTATTCTTGCCATCTCTAGCACATAGGTTGGATTCCTGTTTCCAAGCTTTGGGAATCCTTTGCTCTAGGGGAGAGAATTAAATGACTTTTTTTTCTCAAAAGACTAGCCCCATGTCTCTCCAATCTGACCTGCAGATGGGTTTTATTTGGTCCACACTGTTTTAAATGGAATTAATGACCCAAATTAAAAACTTGGGCTATTACTACAAAAATCTGGGTTTTAGGTTTCTTTGGAAAAACTTGGCAATATGGTACTGGCATTTCCCAGGAAAACAATTGGCTAAGGCTGAGTGGAGACCTAGTACCTCCAGAGTGCTACAGACTTACCACTCCTTATTGCTCACGACACTGGTTTCCCAGACCCAGCTGCTCTTTATCACCTTTCTCCCGATTTGCTTCAAACACTTCCATTACTCCCAATTCTAGGTCAAAAGGAGAAGGCTCGTACCTGGAAGAAAAAGTTAGTTTGCCAGGGATCAGGAAGATAGTCTGTGGTGTGGCTCTGCGGGGTACTGACTCATACCTCTTGCACAGATCAGGAGGAGAAGAGTCTTCTAATAGTGCACAGCCATGTTTCGTGTCCCGGGAACCCCAGTAGGGCTGGACTTAGTGGGACAGACTGCCCAGGACAGCGGAGCTGCCTCATCAGAAAGGAACACACAGGCTTGCACACTGCTGGACTGCAGGACAAAGACCCTTCCTCTATTTTTCTGAGTTGCTAAACTCTGAATTTTGGGGGAAGCACACCAAAAGAGAGAATAGCGGAGGGTTCTGGAGAAATGACCTAGTGGTTGGGAGTTTAGCTGCAGGTGGTTTCAATTAGAAAAAGGAGGACATGTTACTTTTTTGGTGGTTGTTCCTGAATGTTGCCCCAAATGGTTTAATTAATATGAAGTAGCCATAAGCGTCTTTGTGTGATAATTTGCTTTCTAAAACATCTATAATATCTTTTCTAGTAATCTGATCACCAAATTCCTTCATTCTTTTATTCACTCATATGTCCGTTTGTCAGATACTGGAGAACCCACCATTCATGGTGGTGTAAGGATATACACTAGTGAACAAGATACGGTCCCGAGTTCTTCTAATTCTTGGTAGTGATCTGAGTGAGATACTGGGAGTGGGAGTATAAAGGACATTGCTCAGGAACAAGAAGAAGTTTGGGGTCTTCATTCTATTTCTATCCTTCAACTGCTGGGCAACCTTGGTTCACAATTCCACCTCTCTGGGCTTCATCTGCATTTGTGAAATGGGGCTAAATTATCTTTCGTTTCTTCCTAACTTGTAAAATAACTTTGCTGAAGAAAACAGACATGTACCTCTGGATGTAAGTACAGATTTCCTTCTGTATGAGGGCATAGTTTCTCTATTAGGCTTTAGTTTTTCTTCCTGTATCTGATTTCCAGAAAGAAGAGTGGAAATACACTGTACTTTGCTCAAAGTGTTCACTCATCTAGGACTTTACATATAAGGAATTAAATGAAAAATGCTTTTACAGCCTCAGCGGTTGGAAGTGAAGGAGGCCAGTGATGATTCTGCCCAGAGCAGAGGGCTTCAGTATCTTCAACTTTAGGATTGACCGAGGGAACAGGAAAGCCAGCGAGGGCCTCGGAGAAGAAGAAACTTACAAGAATGTCATGCAGCTGGGGTAATGGGTTTATTGTCTCTATTTACAGTTAAGCATTTATTGGGGTTTTGTCAAAAATAAAGGACAAGGGAACAATAGCGATTGTAGCATGAAAACGACACAGCTGCAGTAGACCAATACTGAGCATAAACACCGTCAAGAGAACACAGAACCTGAAGGGAGCGCCTTCAGGTTGTATAGTTAGTTATCCAGACAATAAAGGCAACTCTACAATGCAAGCAATGCTGGATAATAAGACACGATTGAGCCGGGGCAGGGCGGGGGTGGAGGGGAGGGGGAGAGGAAGGCTTGCTGGGGCCTGGCGTCGCTGACTGCCAAGGGGTTAAAATCTCATAAATCCTCCATATCTTTTCTCCATCTCAGGAACTTCTTTGGAGTAGCTTTCCCCTTCTTCGTCAGAGGGCAGAGAGTCGGCAAAGCGCTTGAGGAAGCCCCCGTACCTCTTCTGGTAGTCCATCCACCACTCCGGGCGACCAACTCTCCTCATGAAGCCCCCGTACCGCTTCTGAAGCTCTTTGGCTTCTTCTTCCAGTTGCGGGCTCCTCTTTAAGGCTCTCATGAAGCCCCCGTATCTCTTGCTCACTTCTTCATCCTCACCAAACTCTGAGTGGGGGCCGCTTTCTCGGTTCTCCCCGGTTCCCAGCAGCTCTTTGAGCAGGTCTGAGGAGTTGGCCAGGGCGTCCTCCTCCTCCGCGTCCTTCTTCATGAAGCCCCCGTATCTCTTGGCCAGGATTTCCCCTCCATTGGCCTCTTCTTCCTGCTCCTGAGGATAGAGCTCGTCCATCTTCTTCATGAAGCCGCCATACCTTTTCATGAAGCCCCCGTACTTTTTGGCCAGCATGTGGCTCTCCTCGGGCTTGCTGCTCTCTCTGAGGGCGGTGGCGCCATCCTGGGGAAGCTCCAGCTTGGACAGCTGCAGGAGCTCCCTGCAGGTTTCCCAGGTTTTGAGAGAGGGCAGCTTCCCTTCACATTCCAGGGTGCAAGCCTGGGAAAAGAACTCCATTTAGTGATAGCAAGAGGCTTTTCTGATTTCATTAGGTAAGCACGTTTTTGTGAACCGCAGCATGTGTGCTGTGATATGGAAAGTCTCATATGATAAAGTAATTACCATTTTCTTAGTACAACTTTTCAATATAGGGAACAGGCAAATCAAAGGAAAATGGAATCACTGTGGGTAATTAATTGAATCAAGTTAGGATTTTTTCTTTGAATTTTAACAGATTGTATCTGCCGTGCCATTTCAATATTGTAAAAGACTTTTTCCACCTAGTTTTAACCTAGATTGGCTGCAGGCGCCATCTAATTTCACTGGATAATTTTCCACTGTTGATCGCATTTTGATTGAACCTTTTCTAACCAAGAGGGAGAAATTTCTCTTTATCTAATTAGGGATATCATCCCCAGATCTCTTTTATCTTCTTGTCTTACTGATACAGTCAATATTAATAATATAAGGTTTGTTTACTTTCTTATGTTACTATTCTACCTGGAATGGCATCGAGTGTTCTTGCAAACACTTCCATTCTTTAAAGAAAAGCAACAATTTCAAAATAAATGGGAAAAGAAAGACATTCTAAAACTCAGTTTAAGTCCTGTGAATTATTTGGATTATGATGTACTGATTTGCTGAATATAGAGATGCTTTGCTCCTTCCTTTGATTGAAAACAGATTAAAACAGATTTAATCACCTTGAACTAAATGTTTGTAAAGATGAGCTCTGATATGAAATTATCATATGCAAATGTTCACATATTATTCATGTTTCTTAACATTTAGTTATTGGTGTACAAAAGTGTTTTTAACTTTTCCCAATGGACATCATATTATTTGACAAAATGGGAATGAGAAATGATCTGTATATAATTTCTTCTTTTTATTATATAACAATTAAATTCTAATCATTGTAGAATTTAGGCTGTATGTTCTAATAATCTTGTTAAGATTCTCTTCTATTTGACAGATCACTTGGGTATGATAAAAAGAGAACTAATATTACATGAGTATTTATAAAGTTTATATAACATTTCTGGGCATTTCAGGCTTTTGATAGCCACTTGAACTATACTTATAGAATGCAAGTTACAGACACTTGATTTAGAAAAATGAGGTCCTTTTTTGATATTTAAAAATATATTGGTATATTAATTTATATAAGATACACACATAATATTTTCCCAATGCAAGAAAGCAATTTATGAGCACAACAAAACTCCTTAGGGTATTTTAACCAGTTCTTAATAATTATTTAAGCTTTGTGTCTAAGAAAATTAAATGTATGCATGTATAAACATCTAAAGATGATGCAGTGATACAGTTAAAATGATCCCATGTTATTCTTGATATCCAAAAAATAAAAACATCATTAAAAATGTGAGATATTCAGGTGTCAATAACATTTACATTCTAAAATGAAATGTAAATGATTTCCTTGCCAAAAACTACCATTGAATATTTTGTGTACTATTACCAGAAGGCTTTTTAATGTTGGGATTCCTTCAAAAAGAAATAATGGCAAATAACCAGAATAAAACTAAACAAGTCAAGTTAACTTATAAGCTCCTGTATAAGTCTAAGCATTTTTTGATAGTATTTACCACACTCTGTGTTCTGTGGTCAAGATCATATCAGAAAGCAAATTCAATTTGGACATCAATCATGGCTTGCCTGCTTAGCTTTTCATCCACCAGAGAACTAAGCTCAGGTGTCTTTCAGGTGGTAGAGGGTCAATATTCGTTACATTCATTCTACATAGTTTTAGTTAGGCAGCCTCATTTCTCATGTCTTCTGCGTCTGAGCTGAAATTCCAGAACTGCTATAGTACCAGCAACATAGTTATTAACAAAGCCTTTAGTCACAGAGAAAATAACAACCCTACATGTAAGCCCCAATAAAAAGACAGTCAGTTAAACAAATCAGAAAGACAAAAGAGAGATGAAGGGGATTGTTACCCCTATTTAAGTTGCAACATTTCATCACCATACTTTAAATATAAAACCCTACTGTGTGTCTTCTCTTTAGGGCCATGTTAATACCTGCACAAATGGAATGAAGTTAGATCAGGTAACTCAAATGAAACAAGCAAACATTTAACCTGGAATGTATGCTTTGGCTTTTGTGGAATTCTTTCCTTAATTTTCGTACCCATTTTACGCATCTACATCACAAAATTTCTTCAAAGGCTCAAATGAGGAGCTTAACTCCTTGGATTAATACATTATTCTCCATTGACCCTTTTAAGTCATCACACAATTTCAACAAATTGAGAAGACAGTGCGAAGGAATTGTTGGAGGAGTGAGTTAAAATGAAGCTTCCTGGGGTCCCAAATTCAGAGATTCTGATTCTGATTCAGGGGTGATTTAAGAGCAGGACTCTGATCAGAATGAGTATTCTTTTTGTTCTCAGCTTTCCCTCCTCTCACCCCCATCTCAGGTCATGTAGTTTATCTTTTCATTGTTGTCACCTCTTTGGACCTGGCCACCTCTCCTGTGCCTATTTCATAGCGAAATTAAATTGTTGTCTTAGTTGCTATTACAAAAGTCCATCCAAGATAAGACAGAAGTTGAATTCCAGTGTCACTTGCCTGTAAGAGGTGCTGATCTCTTTCTCTCCGGTCTACTGCTCCTCCCCCCCCCCCCCCCCCTTTCCGGATCCCAATCCTTTGCTCTCTCCTTCCAAAGGTGAGGGGAAGGGCTTGAAGGATCTGAGCATGAAAGGGCTAGAGAAATGAAATCCAAAGAAAGATAACGAAATGTCACTAATAAAAATGACATTATTTGCAGGAAAGATGGGAGGAAGGATTGTGTGGAAGGGGCCCTTGGTGGGATATGTTAGGAACTGGGGTGATAGAGCATCTTCCTTGGGACAGGTGAGGCGACAACCTAGTGCTCTCCAAGATGCCAAAGAGAGCATATCTCCGGGCTCCTACGTTCCCAGGGTTAAAACGAACTTGGTTTGTGTGGCAATACTGCCGCCCTCACCCGTCCCTAGATGGTGGCGGGTCCCAAAGCTGAGAGCTAGAGCGGGACTTTCGTCGGCGTTCGGGGAACAGTCGGACACTTGCGTCACTAGAGATCGTCGCCGCGGCGGCGGGATCGATGTTAGTCCAGGCGGTGCGCCCTGTGGCCTCAGGCCGGGCTGTGTGCGGACTGACTCCGCTACCAGCCCACCCACCGCGGCTGCACTCACCAGCGGGTTGATGTCGGTCGGGCGCGCCAGGCGGTAGCTGCACGTCGCGCAGTCCTGGCTGCATTCCGCCCTCACGGTCGCCAGGAGCCCCGGGCCGAGCGCCAGCAGCCAAGTGCAGAGTCTCAGGAACGGCGCCATGGGCTGCAGGTAGAAAGGGACGTGAACTCCGAGTGTGCTGGCCGCAAAGCGGGTCCCTCCGAGGGACCTCTCGCCGGGACAGTCCCAGCTGGGGGTTGTTGAGCAAGAAGTCCCAGGGATGCTCTTTCCTGGGAACCTGTCCGCCTGGCAGACGCCGCTCCTGGAAGCCCAGAGGCAGATCGCCTCGCGGTTTCCAGGTTGACACTGCCACCCCGAACACGGGGATGCCCGGGAGCTCGGCTCTCTTTCTGGACTTCTACTGCCTCAGAAGGATTCTGGAGAGAATACCCGAATGCGAAGACCAAATGCAAGAGAGAACGGGAGCCTTGCGGAGGGGAGGGCTTCACCCGGGTCACAAACAGGGACCAGAAGAAAGTTGGGGTACCCCATGCAATGAATGAAACGCCGGAGGGGGAAAAATAATAATAATAAAAAACAAAAACAAAACAAAACAAAAAAACCCCGAGCAGGCGGACGGCCCCAAACGCACGCAGCAAAGGCGCAATTTGGGCTTCACTCACGTTGACTGCGATCGGATGGCTTAGGCTGGTCGGAGACAGCGGGTCCCAAGCACTGCTCTGCAAGGGAGAGAAGAAGGCAGGTGTGAGCCGGGCGGGCGTCGGGGCGAAGCGGCCGGGTGCGCGGGCAGACAGGGGCCTCACCGTCGCGGTCCTCTGCTTCTGCAGGGCTCAGAGCGCCTGCCTCGGCTGGCCTCGCTGTCCCGGGGCTGGTGGCTGCTGGAGCCACTTTATAATTAGCCCCCAAGCCAAGGAGGCGAGCGCGCCCCAATCGCCGGCGGGCTGCAGCTGACGCAGGCCCTACGCCAGCCCCGCGCCGACGCCCTCGTAGGAGGGGTCCATCCCATCACCCGCACGCGGGCCAGGGATGGGGGGCGCAGGGTGGCTCAGCTAGCGGCTGGGTGACACACCGAGGCAGTTAGGACATGTGGGGAGAGAGTAGGATGTCATCAAGAACCCCCCCCCCCCCCCGTGAGGTCACTGAAATTGCACTCCCTGGGGGTGCAGGCTCCAGGGAGATAGCCAAGGTGGAGGCATTAGGAGGGGCAGGTGGATGGACTTAGATTTCTGTAATGTGCTGGAGACCCTTCGGGCTAGTGAACCTGCCCTTTCTCCGCCTCTTCCTGGGGCGGTGGGTGGTCGCGGGACGTGCCAAGCAAGGCCGTCCCGAATGTCATTTATCCACCGGTCTGTCCTCCCGCATTGGACTCCCAGTTCCCTGCTGCAGCGTCGAACAGCGCCGGGTGCATCGTCGGCACTCAGTTAAGGGTTAAAGGAAAAAAAAAAAAAAATTGAAACTTATCGGGAATCTTAAAATCTCGGGACTGAGTTTCCCCTTGCATGTTAGTGAGACCCCTTGCCAAACGTGGACAGGACCAACGTTCCTCCTAGAAACGCTTCAGCCCCCGCGGGAGGGGACCCGTCTTTGCTCCCTAGGCGGGCTTCCAAGTCGGGGACACTCTGCCTCAAGCGCACTGCCTAGGAGGTCCTGGGGATGTTTGATGAGTGAGAGGGGGTGCAGGACGAGTGTGATGTCAGCGTGCCAGGACTGTAGTGGCGAGGGAGAGGCGAGGGACGCGGTACACTGGCCACCTGGGGCTTGGGGGCGCACATTCCTTCTGCAAGGAGAGAGCCAAGAGACAACCGTGGGGTCTGGGGCTGTAGATTGAGACCCACTCCGCCGCTTCCTAGCTCTGCGGAAGATTGCCAACGTGCAAGTTATTTACCTGTGTAAGGCCTCAGTTCTCTCATTTGGCAAATAGGAGCAAGAGGTAATTAGCCATTCCTAAGAATCCGGAAAGACGCAAATGAAATAATGGGAGAAAGCCTTTAGCCTGTGTCTGACATGTAGAAAGTTCTGGCAAAGGGGTATCGAATCATCTATCATCTGTCATCCATCTACCTTTCGGTTTGTCTATCACTTACCCGTCATACATCTTGTTTATTTATCTACCCGTGTTTTTCTCAATCCGTCCTGGCCCTAAAGGAAAATCACAAACCATTCCAGAGCCCATGCACTGGGAGAGTCTCGGGTCTTTCCCCGTCACAGGCGCCCTCCGCAAGGACCGGCCACAACCTCAGCCTTCGCAGGTACCAGCAGCCTCAGCGCTCTCTGAGGCTCAGGCCGCGCTGCATCTCCCATTTTGGTCGCTAGAGGGCAGCGCTCTCCTGCGTAGGTTTGGGAGAGCAGAGAAGGGGGTCTCAGTGCCCGCTGGGCACCCGCACCCCAAGTGACCGCAGAGCTGTAATGGTGCACGGCCGGCCTTCTGGGCAAGGGCAACCTTGCACCCGGGGACCTGGAAAGGGGAGCGCTGGGGTGCCTAGCCCTAAGAAGCCGGCACTGACATCTTGCCAGAAAAGCACAACGTGCCCTTTTGGCATTTTCGGCACTTCACCGAAGGGGGCTGGTGGTATTCTCTTCAGCCACTTACCCTCTCTACAACGGAGAGGAGAGCTTACATCTGTGAATGAGATTTCCCCCAGTAGCCTGAGCTTTGTAAAGGCAGCGGACTACACTGCAGTACCCCGTGCAAAAGGAGTGCAAGAACAAATCCTACCCCAAAGGAAAGAAATCTTGCTACATCTGCACCAGCATCCCTGCCATCACGGGAGAACTTTAAATATACAATCAGGATGAGAGACTGAGACATATGTGTGTGTGTGTGTGTGTGTGTGTGTGTGTGTGTGTGTGTGTGGAATGATCGCACCATGTGTGGCTTCCTTAGGATATGCAGTGCTAGACATGGGAAGTCTCCTTAAGGTTCAAAGGTGTTTTAGGGATCATTTATCCCAACCCTCATTTTATAGGTGGGAAAAACGAGGTCCTGAGCGTCCAAGTGACATCCAAGTGACCAACCCAGACAGTGGCAAAACCAGGTTCTGCCATACCTTTCTGGGTAGGCCTCCTTCCTGGCATCTACCTCAGGTCTGTTTTGTTTCTGTTGGAAAAACCAATGTCTGCTCTGAGTTCCTTTCTCCTGGTGAATCTGCGTCTTTCTCTGCAGATTTTTAAATGTCAGAAAAGAGAGAAAGAGAAGGGGAAAAAGAGGGCTGCCCCCAGGAGAAGTTCAAGGGCACTTAGTGTCCCAGTACCCAGCCAGTGTTTGGGACACAGTGTGTGCTGTGTGTTGTCTGACTGTTGGAAGATATGAGGGAAGTGGTGAGGGGTCAATATTGTTTGCACGCTCCAGGAATGATCTCTTCCATTCTCTTCCCCATCTATCCTGGAGACTAAAGGGCATGCATTTTTGTATTCATATCTTTATATTTGAGTGGTGGTAGTGGGTTGCATGGAATTCATCTTTTCATGATCCTGTAAATATTTATTCCAAACTCATAGATATTGCAGTTACCTTCTGAGAAAAGCCTGCTCTAGAATTCAGACTTCAGAAAAGGGAAGAGAACCTTCTCTTAAGGCATTTAATCCAGAGAATTCTGATTTCCGTGTCAGGATCAAGACCACTCCTTCTTCTGATCCTAAGGTTCCAAACTGTAGATGAAAGGGATTTACTCCAGAGACCATAAAAAGGTGATTTGTAAAACTTTGGTGATGAGGGGTGCTCTGGGAGCTGTAGGAGGGATTTAAAAATCCCTTGCAATGTCTTCTTTCATCATTTTCAGGATGGAAGATGCCTAGTTTGAATGATGTCCTTCCGGTGCCTGTTTCTCCCCCTGCGCCTCCTTCCTCCCACCCAGATAAGAAACTTTATTATGGAACTTGCTATCCCTCTGCCCCAATCCCAAACATATCAGTAGTGGGACCACAGCAGTTCTGCACTCTGGGGATTGTGTAATGTTTCAGCATAAAAGAACCATGTTCTAACATTTCAGATGTTTGGAGTCATGTCAGAGGCAGGGTAAACTAGCCTGTTTTCTGTTACAATCTAAAGTACATGCTTTGCAAGCTAGGATTCTGTGAGTTAGGCACGTTATCACGCAGGATCCTGTTAAGGAATTCTTCTGCCTGGCTCAGGACATAGGTCACAGAGAGGTGGTAAGTGGGGTTGGTTGGAAGAAGATGCTTTTAGGGTATGATAAATCCCCACTTCAGGGAAAATGAGTGCTGGTACATTCTCATTCTCAAAAATCTAGGAAACAAAATAAACCCTTTAGAAGAAAAAGTGAGCTGATACATAGTTGCTCATGAGTAAGTCTAAATAACAGATAATATGCCAATGTTTTGGAGAAAGACAAGGGGGAGAGGGGCAAACAATAATAAAAATAACAGGGAAGGGGAACTAAACTCAGCACATCAAACATAATGTATATATATGTGTAAACTTGGAATTGAAATAGAATTCCTAAGGTAAGCCTTCAAGTCTCAGATAGGAAAAAATAATTTTGAGTATTAAGCATCAATAAAACAAGTTAGATGATGACTCTTTAGATTCCGAGAAGATATAGCTCAGGAGCCAATCAATATATAAATGCTTTTCTCCCCCCCCCCCCGCCCCCCAGGGATCTAAATCTTAATTTTATTTCTTACTCTAACAAGGAATAGAAAACTTAATTTTAAGCAAGGTATGTTTTATAATGTTAATAAAGTATAGAATATTTTTAGAATAAATCTTACAAAAGAGGCACAGGGCCTTAACAGAGAACATTAAAAAATGTTAATGAAAAACACTTAAACCTAATAAACGGAAAACATAATCTCTAATTTAATTACTTCCTGTGGTGTCATTTATCTTGTTCCTCTATCTCCTGCATTTTCTAGAAACTGGAAAATATATCTTAAGTCTTGATAGATTCAAATTAAATATATTTTGGACTAGATTATGTCATTAGGTGGTATTTCAACTTTATATTCCATCACATAAACATATCTAGCTATCCCCACCATGAGTGAAGCTACGAATAACCACTGAATTAGGGTGATTGACCACTTGATTGGAATGATCTTTAGGTTCTTATTAGTTACTATTGGTAAGAAGTTATTTGTATGCTCCTTATAAAATTTCTAACAAAAGTAAAGAGTCTAATGACATTTCACTGTTTTCACTGACAAATATCATCCATTTCTTTTGCTAATACAAAAATATTTCAAACTCAGACTTTTCATATCATGTGTTTAAAAAATAATGGTGATCCTCTAATTCACAGATCACACAACTAATCCCATGCAGCCAGTTTGTAAGAATTAACCCACATACTCCACAGAGAAATAATTTTCCCATATTTTGAAGATAGAGATTTGGGGCTGTAGTCTGGCTTTTGCTTCTAGGACCCCTACTTAGCTCATCCCCTCCTTCTTGCTCCTGACCGGCTTCCCTTCGGGTTGTGACACCATGCTCACTGCCCAGTGAAACCACAGGGAAACCACCCCTCCAGGACCTCCATGACCCCTTGTCCAACAGACGTGCCATGTACTGTATACTGGCTGCTCAGTAATGTCCATGTGCTAGAACATTCTCTTGCCTCCCACACCACACTGCTGTGTTGCTGTGAGCTCGGGATGTCACTCATCTGGCTCTCTGGTTCTGGGCTGGGTTGGGCAGGCTGTCAGACTCAGCCCGAATCAGATCTTAAGAGGAGCCACAGATGAGGCTGTGTTCAGTCTGAGGTAACCATCCTGAGGACTCTGAAAGCCTCATGTCTTGCCCGGCTGCCCCACAGGCGGAAGACAGGAGTATCTCCTGGCATACAAGCCATTCATGGCAACCTATTTGGGAAGTTATAAGTTTGTGCAAAGGCTGCAAGCTGAAAA